GTTGCAGTTGTGTAATTAACTTGTTTTATATTTTACTGTTATAGTTCACGGTAAGGATCTTTGGAAAGACATTAAAGACCAAAGAGTACCAGTGAAACTTTGTTCGTAATTTTTTGAAGTCTAGTAGTGCACATCCATGAACATAGCCATAACCTTTAATGTACCGAGATGTGAGTCCTTCTGTTTAATTGACTTGGGTACATACAAGTCAAAGATAAAGCGGGAACTGCAAGAGGTCCGACTCTCTCAAGGTTTCGCGGTATCCAGTACTTTTTGAGATATGATTGCGTTTCAACGAAAACCGAAAAGTCGAACCTCTTGCAGTTCTATAATCTTTGATACAAGGTAAAAACAAATCCTTAGGAACCAAAATTTAATTGTTTAATCGATTGATTACTGATTGATTTACCTGTGCATCCAATAACTTCAAATCTTAGACTAACGTGCCATCCCTGATAGCTTAATGGATGAATACGGATGTACTGAGCGTAAACAGGATAAGGCAACACATTGGTGACGGCGGTATTGCGATCGAAATTTCCAGAGAACACCTAAAAATGTGCCCAAAATAGGCAGCATTTGCAAGTAAACGAAGCATATATGAATATTCTGTAAGCGTTAATTAACATTTTTTTATGTAAGTGACGTAATAATTTACGTAGGCCAATTAAAAGGTTTCATGATCTAGAAAGTATCTTGATAACAAATTATATTAAATTCTACTGGACTTGTGTTCATCCCTAGTGACACTGATGTCACAATGTTCAAATTGTATAATGTTGATAATATTTGTTAAAATTTCTACACCTTATATCAAAAAAGCATGGCTAGGCATAACAATGAACCACTATTATAAGGAAAAAAATATTTAAAATATTAAGAATTAACGTTTTTGATGTAATTTAAATATATATTATATGTTCATGTTTATTGTGGGTTTGATTCTGCTGGACTGTTGGTTTGTGCTCCGTAACCAATGTGATACTATATTGTTCAGAAATAATTCTATTTGTTACTCGACTATCATTGTTGATCATACTTAACATTCATTTTTTAATTGTCCCTTTAAAATGATGTTATTTTATGTGCACTTTTCTATATTTATGGTGTTGTTATTGTGCACTACCTGTTTGTGCAGTTGTTTTTAAAACGTAGAATCCCAATTAATCGATTGATATTATCACTGGTTCGATGCAGATAAGGTAAATGCGGAAAGATAATGGCACACAGTACGTCGGCGTTGGCGCCATACGAGGATATTTCTTGCGACCACAAAGCAACGAGCTAACAACGACCATTCAGACTGCCACATACGGTCGGTGTATAGCGCGCACGGCACTCACGTAATAGTGCGGACACGTCGGCCAACTACACCGACGTAGTGTGCACCAGGTTCGAAGAAACTCACTAAAACATCACAATTTGTGGCAAAGACAGGGATCAAATCGGTGCCATCAACACTGTAATAAACATCATAAGACTTTGACCATTGATCATGGTCTTGTCGACCTTGCGTGATCACTCCTGTTATTTGTTTCAAAGCCCCTAGATCAGCTTGTATCCACTGTTTTTGGTCAAGAGTTAATGATACCCAAGCTCCTGGCCAGCCTACAGTGTTCAGTCTACTACGATGAGGCCCATAATTGCTGTTAACTTCACTTGATGCTGTCAAATGTTCAGAAGGAATTGTTCCATCTTCAACTCCAAGCGGACTGGAGCAGGACTCTTAGCATTGTAAAAAAAAAAAAAAAAAAAAAAAAAAAAATTAAATAAAAAAAGAAAAAAAAAAAAACAAAAAAAAAAAAAAAAAAAAAAAAAAAAAAAAAAAAAAAACCAACCTGCACCGGGACCCTAAGGCATCTAGGTTTTTCTGAGATTTCTGTTTTCGTGCTTCATATAGTCCTATATATATATATATATATATACTGTC